ATACACCAAAAGAAATAACAATTGATTTTGGGGAGTGGGTTTTGGGTTTAGATCTGCATTTTAGGCTTTGGTAAATCAGAGCTGGGTTTGGATCATGATTTTACTTTCTCGGTTTCTCCATTAGTTAAAGTAGGTTCCTGGCTAGGAGGATATTGAGTGACAGTGAAACACGTGGATTGGAACAATTTACCTTTCTGTTTTGGCTTTGGCTTTTGCATTTAAGACTGGTTTTTCATTTTGTAACCGATAAATGGAGTTCAAACACTGTCTATTTGTAATGGAACATACACACCATTATGGGTCTGGTTATTTAATCTTAAGTTCTAAGTTTGGGTTAGAGTTTCGGTTTCTGCGTTAGGGTTTGGGTTGCGATTTTGTTTCTTGGTTTGGATTTCGGGTCTTATTTTGGGCAGTTTAAGGTTGAACTTTACACCAACTAGAGGGACTGAGCAAACCTTTATGGATGTTTGTGCAAAGTTTTTGTAGCCCAGGGAAGAATTCTGGCCAGATTTTGAGTCCAAAAATCTGTAGCACATCGGACAGAATTCTAAGCAGTTTTTGGGATTGATTTGGCAACAGAATCAAGAAATGTAAGTTATGCAATGAGCACATTGGAGGGACGTACCCCCTGAATGTGAAGATGAATTGAAGCCTAAAGTTGGCATGTTATTTAATTGGTCTGAATATGGATGAGACTCTTATAAAAGGTATGCACACTCTTTCAGTTTTAGTATTAGCAATTTAATAAAAAACTAATGATAAAACAATGAGTCCGTGGTAATACATTCACTGCAAAATCTTGGAAAAGAATTGTGTACACCCAACCACCGTAACCCATTTGCATAATGGATTTCAAGAGTCCATCACTCACTCCTTAATTTATAGCCTTGAAATTTGAAAAATCAAATGGTACAGCTCTCATATTGAATAAACCAGATTGTCCTATTCTTTAGATGCTTTAGAGTTTAAAATTTACAACTTGGAACTTTATACATTCTAAAGAGCAGTTTGAAATTGCTACTGTATTTTTTTTTCACATCTTTAAACATGCTGGTTGAATATTTTTAAATGTGATATGGTCATTATATCCAAGTCTAAAAAAACAAAACAATTCAAATCCATTAGAAACATAGAATAGTTTAAATCTCCCAACTTTGAAAAATTGATGTTAAATTGTAAGTTATCTTGTTTTAGGTTCAGGAAACGTGGGAAAAGAATTGTGTATACCCAACCATTCTAACCCATTTGCATAATGGATTTCAAGAGTCCAACACTCACTCCTAACCTTTACCAGAGTCCAACACTCACTCCTTACTTTATAGCCTTGAAATTTAAAAAATCACATGGCACGCCTCTCATTTTTCAGTTTCAAACAGGATTACAAAGACGTAAAAGCAGGTCATAATTTAAAAACTGCTAAAAAATGTATTCTTTATAGTCAAAACCTTGCAAGTTATTATGCAGAATGTTCAAAGGAAGTAATGTGAGCAGAATACACATCTGAATTTGAGCACTCTTGAATAGATGGAATTTAAAATACCTGAAGAATAATTTTCCAAACTGTTGCAGGTTCAGCCCTACCTGTAGGTGAAAAATGACCCTTCTTTCAGTAATAGAAACAAACAACAAAGAGAAGAACAAGCCAAAGAACTCATAAGATTATACCTAGGAGGAATCTTGGAGATGGTGTCTCATCCCATCTCCCAAAATCGAATATAAATAGCCCAACGTACATGCTGAAATAATTGGCAGGGGATTATTAAGGGAAGGATCCATAAATACAAGACGAGGAATCAGAGAAGACGTTTCAATCATACCAGGAAATCTGCACATCTGATACGCAACGCCTAGAATCTAGAAATCTGAGGTTGATAGTATTTAGAACCACAACAATTTGATAGTATTTAGAACCACAACAAAAAACAATACAGCAAAACGCAATTGCCTTAACTCAAAACACGACCTAGAGTCTGACCTAAAAATTAAAATCCAACGGATTGTACCCGCAAACCTAACGCAAATTTGATTGTCAAACACTAAAGTTAAAAGTCAACCTAGAACCTAACACAAAACCAAACCCAAAATCAGGTCAAATCCCCAAAGTAAGAAACAAAATCCCTATCCAGAACCTAACCCAACAACCAATTGCAGGGGTGCATTAAGCTCTTCCCATGTTAAAAAATTGTGAATAAGTACAAAAGGAATGAATATGACATTAAAACAGGCTTAAAGAATGAAGACCAACCATTGTGTGTGGCGTTTGACATGGTAAATATAGCCAGTTTAGTGGAATTTGAATGTCACATGGCCTTAAGCACCTATTTGTAATAGAGTGGTTTTGATTAGAGTGCAGCAGTTCATATTAAGCCAATTGTTTTTGGGAGATATCCGACAAAAAGAGGAAAACCAATACCGGTACATGGTGAAATTTCCATTTTGTTGATCGCTGGAGGCGTTGAAATTTCCATTTTGTTGAAAGCACCGCCAAGCTCCAGCCAATAAACAAGACTCGACCTGTCACCAAATAGGACATGAAAGAGGTTAATAAATAGGAAAATCTCTTACCAAGGTGAATATTGTCAAATTGACTCTCCATCCAAGTATATATGTACAGTAATATTTTTGTTATTGTGTTGTGTTTAAATTTTAACGTGGTGGAACTCATCTACTAAAACATAAATTTTCTACTACGTTTCTTGACCTTTTGGATAAATAAACATTACCATTGAATGGAGTAACGGTCACCCTTTTACCCAAAATTATTGGGTGTCGCCCACTCTCTAAAAGGGATGTTATATCCCGGCCTTGATTCATTGGGAACTCTTCCCAAAGAGTCAACACAACTGGTTTCATTCTTTTTAAGATGAAAGTAAAAATGTTTGATATACACAATGTTAAGTAATTAGAATAACTATGTCATACTTACTCTTCATTCACAAGCATGAAATCATGTGCCGTTTTGGCATGTCCAGGAACGGAGACATACTCCCTGGTCTGAATCACAATGGCCATGAAATCTAAATGTAGCAAAAATAAAAAAAAAAGTTTAGATGTCACATCATTGTGATTTTCCGTATTATGTTAATGAAGACTAATATTATTCACATACTGATTGGGGTTTTAGAACCGCATAAGTCATAGAAGTCAAAGAATTGTGTGAGGATAGTGTTTGTCTCATTTGTTGCCTGAATTTGTTCTGATTTTGGGGCTGCCTCAATCCAAGTCTTTTTACTCAACATCTAAATGTAATTATAGTTTGCGGATGGGGGATCACCACTATACTTGGTTAGGCATGGCAGCAGCATTGCTTATGTAGTACGTGTTTTTGAGGCGGAGTATCTTATCACTTTGTTCAATGTCACCACTATTTGCGAGAGCAAGAACCTTGGTACCCTGTACAGAAATGGTTGAATGGAACATAATTAGTGCATGTAATATGTACGCTCTAAGATTGATTATTTTATAAGCTTTATAAGCTTACCTCCTCATCCTGCAATATAAAAGGTCTGTACTTGTTAGGGCTCGTCCTTGAGTCTTTGATGTTCCGTTTCTCCACAACTCTAACCTTACATGTCCATTCCTTTTTGTTGTCATTTATTCCACTGATCATTCCACCTTCCATGTCCATTCCTTTTTGTTGTCATTTGACTTTAGGATTAAGAGTTTGGGTCTATCTTTGC